CGGGCCCCACATGTTTCCTGCACTGCTGATCCAAGAGGGTTATTTCCCGTACAAGCAAGCCTCTGGCTCCCTCCAGGTTAAACTCTTACCCGCGGGTTTGGGAGGAGGACCCGACTTTTCCATCCCGCCGGGACAGATGCCTGACTGGCACCGTGTTCATCATCACAGGCTGGCATCTGTCCAGAGCCCGTGGCTGCTCAGTATCATCCCTCAAAAGCTTTGGCAAAGCATCTGGTCATGTTTCATTATATTATTATATTATAGCAGAACACACAACTGCAGTTTCTTGTCTTTGCCTCAGCAACGACCCTGTTGTGCCTTATGTCTGGGGGTGCTGGTGCCGCACGGCGTCTCCTCATTCCATCTCCTTAGTTAGCTTCCACACAACTCTTTCCACAAGTTGCCCAGAGAAGCTGTGGCTGCTCCATCTCTGGAAGTGTCCAAAGCCAGGTTGGACGGGGCTTGGAGCAACCTGGTCTAGTGGAAGGTGCCCCTGCCCATGACAGGGGCTTAGACTAGATCAATCTTTAAGATCCCTTCCAACCCAAACCATTCTGGGATTCTACGAATCCTACGAAACACCCGCAGCGCCCTGAGCGCTGGTGGAGCCGGGGGGCTCCGGGCAGCAGGGACACAAGGTGTGAGTACCGAAACCACCAAACCCCGTGGAAGCCCGAGGGGCACAGGCACCCCCCTAAGCCCCCGATCCCCCCCGCACCTACCCCCGCAACATCGCCGGGTCCCTGACGCTGATGGGGCTCACGGCGGAGGGGCGCCCGCCGCCCCCCCCATGCCCGGAGGAGCCGCAGCTGGAGCGGGAGCCGCGCCCGGAGAAGCCGGAGCCGCAGCCGGAGCGGGAGTCCTTCCCGGAGGAGCCGCAGCCGGATGAAGAGTCGGAGCGGTTCCTGGAGGAAGGGGAGCCGTTCCCGGAGCAGATCCCGGAGGAAGCCGCGCTGGAACCGGAGCGGATCCCGGAGGAGCCGCAGCCCCACCACCGCCCACGTGATGCCGGCGCGGCTGCGCCCTGAGCCCGCCGGGGCCCCGGAGGGTCGCTTGGCGAGCAGCGGCACGGGTAAAACGGGCTGGAATCGCGGGAATTAGGGTGGTTTGTTACCGATCACATCAGTGCAGGGCAGTGAGACGCGAAAATTAAATCTTAAACAGCCGTTCCTCTGCCCTTCTCTTCTTCCCCGGCTCAGATTCGCGCCTGGTTTCCTCTGCCTCCTTCCACACGGGGCTGCGGTCAGCTCTCTCCTGCTCCTTCTTGCTCAGAAGGATTCGTCACACTTTTCCCCTGCTCCAGCATGGGGTCCCTCCCAGGGGAGACAATCCTCCGTGGACTCCAACGTGAGTTATTCACGGAGTGCTCCCGCGTGGGTCACTTCCACGGAGTGCAGTCCCTTAGGGACGGGCTGATCCAGAGTGGGATCCTTCCACGGGGACCACCTCTGGCTGCAATTGCTCCCATGCAATAGCTTTTGTCTCCCTTCTTAAATATATTATTCCAGAGGTGCTCCCACTGTCGCTGATGGGCTCAGGCAGGTCCATCTTGAGCCAGCTGGGAATGGCTCCATCGGACATAGGTAAGCTTCCAGCAGCTTCTCACAGAAGCCACCCCTGTAACTCTCCCACTACCAAAACTGTGCCCCCCAAACCCCAACACACTGAGGAAGTCAGGGATAATATGCAGGAAGCTGAAAGGATGGGGGAAACCTGGCTGGGGGAAGAAAGGCCACTGATTGTCCAGGATTTTTAAACTTGGCATTCAAGGAGAGCACAGGGCTGGGAACAAAACAGGCAAACCACTCCTGCTATTACCCCAGTCCCAACAGCAGATCCCACACCCACCTCTGAATTGACAGCACTGAAATTTTGGTGAGTGTCTCCACTCAACCAAAAACTGCCCCTGCCCTTGCAGGCCACCCTAAGAGGATGTTTTCCAGATCGATCCTTCCCCACATTTCCCATCACATCCTACCTTGCCATTGCCCAGGGCTTCCCTCCAGGCAGCCGTATCCCCTCAGAGCCTTCACGTGCTCCTGCCTTGCTCTCCATTTGCCCATCCTCTACCTCACTGCCAGACCCAAGGCCAAAGGCTGGTGAGTCAGACATGGTGATCCATGTATCCATTGCAGAATGCTGCTGTGGATACCACGTAGGGAGCACTTCTCTGTCCCAGCATCTCCTGGATGTCCCTGTCATCTGCAGCCCTGCCCTGCCTCATGGCCAGGATCCATGGTGACAGCACAGGCCAGCCTCATGCTCTGAAGTCTGGGAACGGAGTGTTCGGGACGTTTGTGTCTGTTTGTGTCACTGGCTGTAACCTTTGTTATCTTCAGGGAGCTTTTGGGAGGAGGGGAAAGATCTTCAGCTTTCCAAGGCAGCACCATAAGTAATTAGTCTTTGTAATTATTAACTCCCAAGGCTTGGCTGGCAGGGACGGAGGGTCCTCAGATTAGAAGGGTAGAACCGATTCCAGGAGCCAACAAAGGCAGGAAGGATGAGAACTGATAGTGCAGACAGGAAGCATTGAGGGGATGTGCTGAAGATTCTGAATCCCAGCCACTTGCAGAAGTTAACTTTTCATAGGGGGAGAGTGGCATGTGCTTCCCTCTTCTTCCTAGAAGGAAAGGGGAAAACCAGATGCAGGCTGGGAAGAGAAGGAGGAATGGGGATTATTTTAGAGCTTGGAAAGCAGGACTACGCCCCAGACCCAGCAAACCCAAACCGGATGTTATTGCCATGAAAAGGAGAATGAAATGGCCTCAAACTCCAGCTCCTTCCAGCCCCTCCTTGCTGGCTCAGATGCTGTGCTGATGTTTGCTCAGCTGGCTGCAAGGCTTTCAGCAAGGGCTTTCTGGGATTTCTGGCTCTAAGATCCCTGATTTCCAGGACCAATACATTTGGTCCTCCCTTTGGAGCCTAATCCCTGCCACAGAACCTATGGCAAGAGAAAGGGGATCTTGCTAAGGACCTTTCCCTCCTTTTCATGCTGTGCAAACTGAACTATGCAACATCGGAGAGGGAGATTTGTCACCCTCCAAGCCCCTAAAAACAAAATGCAGAGGGTAAGATGGAGATTAGCACTCGGGTCTCAGGGAGGTGCAGAGCTTGGCACCCACAGCTCTCAGAGCCCCCCAGGATGGCACAGAATTAGTGAAGAATTCTGCAGCATAAGGGGATGAAGCCTGGGGGTCCTCACAAAAGCACTGAGGGTCACTGCATCCTCTTCAGACATTCCTGGCCAGCTCAAATCTCTGGGTAAATCCTGTCCTTGCAAAACAGCACCTCCTCAGATAATTCCCGCTTTATCTTTTTTTTTTTTAATTACGTAAGATTCCAGGGAAGAATGCTATTTTGAGAGACATCCCTGATGCCAGCTGCCTCTGTGTCTATCTCACCACTGAAACTGGACCCACTGTCCCAAAAAACACTTATTCTCTACGAGACAGCAAGGAGGGCACCGTGCCATTCCCAGACAGTTGCTGCTAACTCAGCACGGAGAGTGGCCCTCTGGCATTCCCAAAACAGGGATTCAATTCCCACCACAGTAATTCAGTTTCTGCGTCTGTAACATTGAGAAAATGAGGATGATTCCAAGGCTGTGAGGCTGAGGAGGGATATCAGACCTCCTTGCTTTCTCCTCTGCTTCTGTGCAAGGAATCTTCCTCAAGTCCTGCAAGGTTTGAGGCCACAGGGGATGTGAAAAGAGATCCAAGCAGGGCTGACATGCTGGTAGCCCTTCAGTTATTTACTTTAATATTAAATTCCACACATATTTCGTGCTGTCCCAGCAGCAGCTGTGAAACACACGAGCTGCCAGCTGAGCTGCTCTCAGAGGAGGGCAGCAGAGTCCCCCAGATGCCAGCACATCCTTCCACAAACAGCAGGACACTCTGTGGTTTGTTGTTTCATGTCCCCAGGAGCACCCAAACCACTCCCAACAGCACCCTCCCCTTGTCTAGGATCAGCCACAGGAAGGATAAAACTGCATTTGGGACAAATTGATCCCAACTGCTGATGTTAAACAAGTGTCAAAGACACAGGCATACAACCAGCACAAGAGAAAGTTGATTTTTACAGGAATCCTGGTCTCCAGCTGCTCTTACCTGCATGGGTCAGACCCGTGCTCCCTCTCCACAGCATCCCACAGCTGGGTAAATGATGGAAGACTAAACAGTGAGAAAGGATTTTCATTCAGAGCCCTGTGGAAGGGGAACATCCTAAAGACCTAACAGGGGGGATTGTTGAGGTGGTGGATGAGAAGGATGGTGGCAATTGGGAGGGATGACTTGGGAGCAGAAAAGGGACCCTGGAGAGGCAGAGGGAAGGAGTTTCTGGCTTGGTGGAGATTTCAGAACAAAGGCAAGGACTGATGTTTCCCAGGATGTCATGCAGGGAAGAGCAGTGAGTCCCCAAGCACTGCTGGAAGAAGCCAGAGGAAGAGAAAGTGAACCCATGGAAAGAGTCTCGGGGAGGCAGTGGCAGAGTGAAATTCCCCAGCATCCAAACCACAGCTGGAAGAGGTGACAAACTCATCCAGGGACAGCGAGGAATGACAGAGAAACATCCTGTGAGAGCCAGGCAGAGCATGGACCAGGTGTTTCACCAAGCTAAGGAGCTTCCCCAGGGAAGAGAGGGCTGTGCAGCCCCCAGGCATGACACATTTTACAGCCTTTGTGGAAAATTCCAGCCCTGCATAATCTCCTGGGGTTCCTGTAAGATTGTGACACGGAGAAAGGGACCAAACAGGAAAGAATTAGAGGAAAAATGCCTCTCTCCTGGCAGCCACCATGGCTGTGCCAGGAGTTAGCAGCAGCAGAGCAGCCAGCCCTGCCTCCCCCTCCTCCGGCCGCCTCTATAAACACGCAGGGCTTACTCAGAAGATTAGGAGGGAACAGGGCAAAAGACAACAGAGTCTCTTTTGTAATGAGGAAGGATTACGGCATCAAGTGACCGGCTGCAGCTCCCAAGTGGGTCTCAGGCTCCTTAGCACACCGTGTCGGGCAGGTTCAATCCCCCCATGAGCCAAGGGGGCACGAGGAGGCGGGCGGTGGCGTGGGCCACAAAGGACCCAGCGAGGACACGTGCGGCAGCAAACCTCCACAGCATCCAGCGTGGTGAAGGAGCCCATGACTGTGAGTATCCCGTCCTCCTAAGAGCAGGCAGATTCCTTCTGAGACCTTCCTGCCTTCCTGTAACCTCCTCTCACTCCATCCCTCTGCTCTGTCCCCTTGTTCTCCAGCAATGTGGTACCTGCTCGTTTCTGTTTGCCGTCTCACGTGGTGGGTGATGCACCTGATGTTGCAGAATCCTGATTGCTGTGGGTTCCCACACTCTGATTAGTGGCAGTGGACCTCCAGGTGCAATGGTTAGTCCAGAGGGATGAGGCAGGTGGATGCAGGCAGTGGCAGGCAGCAGTGCCGTGCAGGGGATGGTTCTTCCTCCCCATACTGACTCCGGTGTGCCAGTGAGTCACCTCCCACCTCAACCCCAAATGGTACTTGGAGTGTGCCAGCTGCCCAGTGACATCCCTGGGCAGTCCCATGCAGGCTGGCAGGTGGGCAAGGAAGTGCCTTAACCATTCTGGGCTGGAGGGAAAAGCACTGGGGAAAAAAACCATATCCCATGCGGGGGCAGAACTGCACAGAGGTGGGTGACATCCATTATTTACATGGACAAGAGCTGAAGTTTTCCTTCTTTGGTAAAAAGTGAATGTGTATCTGAATTACGCAACAAAGAGTCTCTCTGGGCTTTTTCAAGACCCAAAGCATAGAGAAAGCAGATAGCCTTGTGTAAGCAGACCCCCAAATTTATGGGTTTATGGGCATACATTTCTTTTCCATACGGCCCATGTGTGCAGTCTCTGGGGCAGTTAAAACTCACTCTTCCCAGTCCTGTGCACAGAAATTCGTATGAGAATGGCAGAGAAGTGCACGAGGATTTAGTGAAATGTGCATTTGTGCAGCTGGGGACAGGGACCAGCTCTGCTCCTCCACATAACCTGTGAGAGGGGACTCAGGGACCTGAGTTACTACAGGGAAAGCCAAAGGAGGAGCAGCACCAAAAAGCCAAAACCAGGAGAAAGATGTTGTTTGGTTGAAGTAGCCAAAAAGCCCAGACTTTGCTGTTTTTCTTCACAGCAGCAGCTCACTGGGACTCAAGGTGTCCCCACCTAGGTGTAGGTTTTTCACTGAGATGTTTAAATAAGGAACACGGCACAAACTTATCTGCCTTCAGGTGCTGCAAGGTGTGAATTGTCCCTTGAAGGTTTTCATTGTCTCCATCATTCAGGGGAGAGCCCGAGGTGCCATAATTACTGACGTTGTTACCTCTGTTAAATAGCAATGCCTGTGTAACACCCTGGTGGCATGTTAAGATTTAGAAATACCAGTAGTTTCACACTGGTTAATTATAAGCCAAGGGATCATTCACCAACCTGCCTGGCGTGGATTACATCAGTGCTTTGGTGGGGGTTTTTTTTGGTTTTTTGTTTTTGTTTGTTTTTTTTTTTTTTTTTGTTTTGTTGTTGTTGTTCTTTTGGGTTTTTTTTACAAATTCAGATTTATATGAAAGTGAGTCTGATTACTAATTGATGATAAAGAAATATTTATCCCTGTTAGACTAGAATTGCAACGGGGATGCTGCATGACTGGGAAGCATTTCAGGAGCCTGAATGCCTTTTTTTATCCAGTGTGATCTATTGTGCAACATATGGTGGAAGGAGAGGGGAGGCAGAGCTGCTGGAATTTGGGCTCTGTGAGCCTGGCCGAACTCCATCCCGCAGATCTGTAACAGGGAGGGCTGTTCTACCTGGAGGACTAGGACCAGCAGAGTCCAGATATGGCCCTCAGCCCAAATTTAAAGACAGCAATTCTTGTTGGGTACCTTCATCTGGATCAGTTCTAAGAAATCTCTACTTTTTGTGGTTTTTGCTTTCCTTTGGGTTGAATTTTTTTGCCAGCAGCATTCCAGGAAGATGCTTCCCAACATTTTACAGAAACATATTTGAAACAAATAGTATAACAAAAAAAAATAATGGGATAAGCAACTGTGGAGTTTGTGACCGTGACACTTAACCTTACACCAGTGTTTTGTGGGAAGGTGGTGGCACATGGGCTCTGTCCTCTCCAGCCAACCAGCCCCACTTGAATGCTGACACTCAAGCACTAGAAATCCAGGGCTCCACCAGAAAATACATCCTCTGTCACTGTAACCAGCTCATGTGCAGCTCAAGGACAGGGGAAAGATTGCAAATTAATTGCTTACAACCGATTTCCTCCTGGTTGCGTGTGTCACTAACTTCACCTTACCTGGCTTTGGATCTCAACTGTATCTTGTTGTCTTTCTCTTTCTCCTCTATCCTTGCATCTTGCTTGGCTCCTCCTTCTGTTCAAGCTTCAACACCTCCTCCTTTTGTGTGTGCCACAGGACCTGTGATGACAGTGACATACACCAACCGTGTGGCAGATGCCCGCCTGGGCACCTTCTCCCAGCTGCTGCTGCAATGGAAAGGGAGTATCTACAAACTGCTCTACTCAGAGTTCCTAATTTTCATCTCACTCTACTTCACCATCAGCCTTATCTACAGGTGAGCACCTTACACCCTGACACCAACACAGCCTGTCCTGGAGCAGGACAGCGGAGCAACATGGGATTGGAACAGGGATGCTGGACAGACACTCATCAGCCTCTGTTTGCAGGAGGGAAGGGAAGGAGAGGAAAAAGCTGAAGGAGGAGAAAAAAAAGCTGAAAGACAAGGGAGGGAGGGCAGGGGAAGGAAAGGAAGCAACTTTAAGAGGCAGGGACTCAGGGGAGAGCACAGCTTGAGACTGACGTTTTCCAGGATATTAAGTGAACTGCAGTGCACATCCAAGCTCTGTGTCAAACCCTTGGTACCACACATTGTTCTCCTGAGCGAGAAGAATAAAGGTGGTCCCTGACATCAGGCTGCATTACTTACCACACAGTTCTCTGGCCTCTGGACTAGTCAATAGGGTATTTTGGGGATGTGGGCTGATATCCCAGGCTCACGAGGGCTGTTCACCCACAGACTCCCCATCCTTGGCTTCCCTTGCCAGACTCACCCCAGCGGGTCCAACAAGGCCCAGACTCTTCTCTGAGGTTGCTGCTTCTATTTGTCCCTTTTAGGCTGATCCTGAGTGAGAGCCAAAGGCTGATGTTTGAGAAGCTGGCACTGTACTGCAACAGCTACGCTGAGCTAATCCCTGTATCCTTCGTGCTGGGTAAGGAGCTCTGCCTGAGATCACACAGGGAGGGGAATGGGACAGCATTTCTTCTCTCTGGTTTGACAGAGATTGTAAATTTCTTTAGGAAGAAATTCTTTGTTGTTTAGGAAAAAATTCTTCCCTGTGAGGGTGGTGAGGCCCTGGCACAGGTTGCCCAGAGAAGCTGTAGCTACCCTGTCCCTAGAAGCATTCAAGGCCAGGTTGGATGGAGCTCTGGAGCAACCTGGTTTAGTGGAAGGTGTCCCTGTCCATGGAACGAGATGATCTTTAAGGTCTCTTCCAACCCAAACAATTCTGTGATTCTATGAAACAAACCATGAGATCCAGACTCTTTTTAGCCTGAAGGTCTGAATTCCCCTCTGGTTATTCCTGCACTCATCCCTGTATGAGCACTAGAAGAAAAGAAGAGGAGCAGAGCTTCCTACTCCCTTACGATGACTAATTTGCTCAGCTTCCTTCTCCCACTCCTCTGGGATGCCTAATTTGCTCAGCTCCCCTCCAGGTTTCTACGTGGCGCTGGTGGTGTCCCGCTGGTGGGCTCAATACGAGAGCATCCCGTGGCCTGACCGGATCATGAACCTGGTGTCCTGCAACGTGGACGGGGAGGATGAGTACGGGAGGCTCCTGCGGCGCACCCTGATGCGCTACAGCAACCTGGTCAGCGTGCTGATCTTGCGCTCCGTCAGCACCGCCGTCTACAAGCGCTTCCCCAGCATGGAGCACGTCGTGAGGGCAGGTCAGCCCTGGCACCACCACCTGGCTGCTATTTTTGGGGCAGAGAGCCTCGGGAAAGACCTCCCGACCTTCAGGTTGGAGGTGGGATAGTGCTGCAGTCTGCTGAGTGTCTGCAGCAGGCAACAGTTTTCCGCTGGTGGGTGGGAATTGGAGCCTCAGATCTCCAAACTTAACTGCTGGGCTCCCTGAATCCTCTTTGGGAGGATGCTCCTGAAGGTACAACGTTACCCAGTCTGCCCAAAGGGAGAGGTCTGCACCTGCCCCCATTATCTGGGTTCCCTTTGCGATCCAGAGAGAGAAACAGGCACTCTAGGGCACATGTTATGCCATTCCAAACAAATAGCTGTGGACATTAGGCAGTTGTACCCTCAGCAGCACTGTGATCTGATCAGATGTGCTGCAGACAGCCAAAGTGAAATCCCATAAATCCCACCTCTCAAACCTCTATGACTCAAAATTTTAACTATGAGACTTATCCTCCTTCCGTGTGTCTCCCAAAATTCTGAGCACCTGAGTCTTTCCCGTGGTTTTAAGGAGAGCTGAGGCCACCACCTAAGATTCAAATGTTTTCATTTTAGACCAGATCAATTCCTTTCTGCCCTTTGTAGCCATCCCTTTTCCATTTACTGTCTTCCACACAGGCCTCATGACACCAGAAGAGCACAAGAAGTTTGAGAGCTTGAATTCCCCCCACAACAAGTTTTGGATCCCATGTGTGTGGTTCTCCAATCTAGCTGTGAAGGCAAGGAATGACGGGAGGATCCGGGACAGTGTGCTGCTCCAAGGAATCCTGAATGTGAGTGACAGAGACAATAGGCAACTGTGTGAGATCCTGGGGATCCCTGGGGATGTTCCATTAACTTTGGTGGAAAATGCTCCCAATGCCACACTCCAGCTGGTGACAGAACAGAGCTTTCCATGGCCTACTGACATGGCAGCATATGTCATATATATTTGAGGAGATGGCAATGTGACATCTTTCTCAAATATGGGACTGGGAGGAACCATTGGACTCACTTTTAGGTGTGGGAATGGGAGGTATCCAAGTAGCAGGTCCCTGATCAGCCTTGACACGCTCCAGGGCAGCGAACAAGAGTAACCAGTGGAGGTCTCTATGATACAGCTGGAAAGCCATAAGAAAGTAGGTATCTGGAAGAGATCAGGAGAGGTCAAAAAAATCCCCAACAATGAAGGTCCTTTAGAAAACTTTGCTATTGAAAACCCTTTGATAGTCCTGGGCAGCAGGCCACACTCCACAGACAAGACCTGGCAACAATCCCTGCCCAGCTGCATAGAAAAAGACTCTGGAGCAGCTCATCCTTCTTGGTATTCATGTGCAGAGAAAGTCACGTGGTTTCTGTTGCCTGAAGTGGGATTCATCTGCCCAGAGAGAGAGATCTCCCTCTGGCATACTTATCTATAGGCAGGAGAGAGAAATGGATACTCCTGAGACATCCTTTTGCCTCTCCTGTTGGATGCTCATTTTGTGAGAAGATAAACTGCTAGGAAGTGAGTTAGGAAGGGATCTTGGGCTCAGATGGAGACACCCAGGCAGCAAGGAGTTCCTCCAGGGATGTATGAGATCCTGCTGGTGGTCTGCCGGGCTAGAGCTGGGCACCACGGGAACAGGAGTCCTGACTGAGCCTCCCTTTCAGAGGAGGTGCAAGCAGGAGTGAATGGGCTGGAGCAATGAGGGACAGTGGTTCCAGAGAGGCTCTGTGTCCTCAGCAAGGACATGCAAAGTTATTCTGACAGGCCATTCCTTTTCCCCACTGCAGGAGCTCAACACCCTGCGCAGCCAGTGCGGGAGACTCTATGGGTACGACTGGATCAGCATCCCCCTGGTCTACACCCAGGTGAGAAGGGATCCCCACACCTTCTGCTCCACCACCTGCCTGTGCACATCCCCATTTACATCCTTACCTGGAATCCTGCCATGGTTTGCATCGGAAGGGACCTTAAAGCTCATCTTTTAAAGTTCCACCCCCCTGCCATGGGCACCCTCTGAGTAAAGAATTTCTTCCTAACATCTAATCTAAACCTGCCCTCTGTCAGTTTAAAACCTTTGTCCCTTGTTCTGTCACTATCTGTCCATATAAAAAGTCCCTCTCCCTCCTTTCTCTAAGTCCCTTAAGGTACTGGAAGGCCTCAGTCTCCCCAAAACCTCCTCCATACCTGCCTCACACATGGACCATGCAGGATACTCTTGAATCCCTCATCCCCACCTACACATATCTCTTTTCCATAGGTACCTCAGCAGCACACATCCATCCCAGCCTCATCTCCCTAACTCAGACACATCCATCTCTATAGACACACCCCTGTCCGGGGGGAACTAACCCCAAATGTGCCACACAGGTACATAGAAAACACAGGGACCACAGACCCACTCCCTGCTCCAGTTTGCAGGGCACACATTCCAGACAGGGAGCTCCAGGGGAGTTGTGCCACAGGTGTGAGTGAGCTCTGTGCGTGTCCTCAGCTATTTAACAGCCCAGGCAGACACTTGGGCACCAACTTGCCCCTTTGTCCCCTACAATCCAGCTACTCAGATAACACTGATGCCCTCCACTGTGAAATAGGAGCCGCTGAAGGTTAATGGGGAACACCTTGGGAAAGTATGTTCTTATTTTGAACCCCTTTGCTTGTATCAAGAGAGTCTCAGTTACTGTTAATTTGAAAAGGGGAAGTTTCCAGTCTCGTGGTTATAGAGAAAAGCACAAAACTCAGCACAGCCTGAGATCCAGGCAAGCAAGCAGGCAAATAGAAAAAAGGCTCAGCATGAGGAGCAGGAAAGAAGGAGCTAATAGGACTGCCAGCGTTCCCTTCCAGACTTTGAAGCAGCCTGCCAGCTTGGACTGAGCCACGAGACAGCTTTCAGTCCATCCAGGATGTCATGTGCTCCCTTTTGCCACGGCCCTGTGACACCTACACAGGTCTCATTCCAGGGACAGCATGGAATGACATACAGCGCATGCAACAGCTAAAGGGAATATTTAAAGCTTTCTGCTGTGGGAATGCATCCCCCTGCAAAACAGCAGCCTGTCATAAGTGAATCCAAGGCTTTCCAAAGGCTGCAGAGCCAGAATCTGGTTTTGGAGATGTGTGGGGTGGAACTGAAGGAGATGCTGGGAACTCACGCTCCCCTGGTGTGTCCCTTGGCATCTTTCCCAGGTGGTGACCGTGGCTGTTTACAGCTTCTTCCTGGCCTGTCTGATTGGGAGGCAGTTCCTGGATCCAGAAAAAGCATATCCTGGCCATGAACTGGATCTCTTCGTGCCTGTCTTTACATTTTTGCAGTTCTTCTTCTACGCTGGCTGGTTAAAGGTAAGTCCAGGAAAATACGTCTGGAGCTGGAATATGACTCAGCCAAGGGTTTTTCCCCATGTGAGCTCACCAGGGACCCAGCTGTGTGTTCTTTGATCTGTGCACAACAACAGGAAGCCAAGGGGAGGCTGAAGGGAATTACCTTCTGATTTTCCAAGTGTGTCACCCTGGAGACCAGCTGCACCTTTCCTCAGCTTTGGTCCTCACTAGTTTGGGGAAAAGAGAGGCAGTAGGCTGCAGGAGGGCTGTTATTGTGTGTGCCAATGTCTCCCAGCCACTGGCAAGCCTCCACTTTTAACCCTCCCCTTTTTGGGAGGAGCAGCCTTTCTAGGAATTCAAGGGACATCACGCTTGCCCCTGCCCCACAGGCCTTCTCCTTGCAGGGAAAGGGGCAGGTATGACCATGGTGACCTTTGCTGTCTGCTCTCCACATGCAGGTGGCCGAGCAACTCATCAACCCTTTTGGGGAGGACGATGATGACTTTGAAGCCAACTGGCTCATCGACAGGAACCTGCAGGTAAAGGGAAGGAAGATCCTCCCACCCTGTCAGTGCAGTCACCAAGTTCTGCAAAACCTCTGCCCCCACCTCCCTGCCTGTGAGGGGATGGAGAGACAGTCCCTCCACAGCCACAGGGACAGCCCAGGCTCCAGAAAGGGTGTGGGGCAAGACCCGTGACAGGGCCTGTTCTCCACACCAAGGAATTTAGGGCTTTGGGCCTATCTTTGTACACAGAGACCAACAGCAGCTTCAGTCCATGCTCTGGCACATGGCATGAATGCAGGCTGCTCATTTCAGGCCCTCATTGCCTTTGAACGACACATTATTCCTGTTTCCGTCTTTACTACCCTATATCTACCTAAAACAACCTCCTCTGCTTTCTTCTGTGCAATAACTCCACACCTCCAGCCCTTCATAAGACTGAGCCCATCTGTCCTAGTGAGCCTGCTGCTTTTTTTATTTCCTTCAGCATCATTTTCCTTACAATTAGTCAAATCTCTATGTGAATAAAATCTCTGTGTTGATTTGCTGGAAGGCAGGAGGGCTCTGCAGAGGGACCTGGACAAGCTGGAGAGATGGGCTGGTTCCAACGGGATGAGGTTCAACAAGGCCAAGTGCCGGGTCCTGCGCTTTGGCCACAACAACCCCCTGCAGCACCACAGGCTGGGGACAGAGGGGCTGGAGAGCAGCCAGGCAGGAAGGGACCTGGGAGTCTGGATTGACAGGAGGCTGAACATGAGCCAGCAGTGTGCCCAGGTGGCCAAGAAGGCCAATGGCATCCTGGCCTGGATCAGGAACAGTGTGGCAGCAGGACCAGGGAGGTGATTCTTCCCCTGTAGTCAGCACTGGTGAGGCCACCCCTGGAGTGCTGTGTCCAGTTCTGGGTCCCTCAGTTCAGGAAGGACATTGAGGGGCTGAAGCAGGTCCAGAGAAGAGCAACAAGGCTGGGGAAGGGACTTGAGCACAAGTCCTGTGAGGAGAGGCTGAGGGAGCTGAGGTTGTTTAGCCTGGAGAGGAGGAGGCTCAGGGGAGACCTCCTCACTCTCTACAACTACCTGACAGGAGGTTGTAGCCAGGTAAAGATTGATCTCTTCTCCCAGGCAACCAGCAGTAGGACAAGAGGGCATGGTCTTAAGCTGTGCCAGGGGAGGTTTAGGTTGGATATTAGGAAGAAATTCTTTACAGAGAGAGTAATCAAACATTGGAATGGGCTGCCCAGGGAGGGGGTGGATTCACCATCCCTGGAGGTTTTTAAGATGAGACTGGATGTGGCATCGGTGCCATAGTCTGGGAACCACGGTGGGATTGGGTCAAGGGTTGAACTTGATGATCTCTGAGGTCTTTTCTGATTGATTCTGTGATTCTATGAAAAACAACCCAAGTGACAGGAAACCACAGCAACCTCAGCCACTTGCCCCACTTCCGTGCTACACTGCTTCCTCCTGCCCTGCATCCCTTCATCTACAGAAAACAGGCTGCTCACCTTGTGTGACATTCCTGCTGTCTCCTGCAGGTCTCCCTCATGGCAGTGGATGAGATGCATCAGGATTTACCAGTCCTGGAGAAGGACCTCTACTGGAATGAGCCTGATCCCCAGCCACCCTACACAGCAGCCACTGCTGAGTACAAACGCCCATCATTCCTCGGCTCCACTTTTGATATCAGGTCAGTGCAGGGTGTCACAACAGTCCACAGTTACACCTGGATCAGGTCTTCAGAAGGATATTACACCTGAGGAGCAAGAATGGGTAGTAATATCTTTCTCCATAGTCTGTGAAATCTTGCTCTAAGATCTCTTTAGGCTCACACAAAGACAACAGCCAACATCCTCCATGGAAAAGGATGACTGAGCTCTTTCCCCCACTCACCTGTACTGTGAGCTTCCCTGCTTTGGGGGCGCTAACACATTTAATGGCAGTACAGGGAGAGGTCTGCCACGGGCAGCAGTGGCAACACAACCCCCCTCCCTTTGTGGCTGCGTAACAGCCCTGCTTTGCCTTTCCCAGCATGCAGAAAGAAGAGATGGAGTTCCAGCCCCTGGAGCAGATCAAGGAGAACGAGGAAGCCAACCACTCCACACCATTACTGGGACACCTGGGCCGCCTCTTGGGTGTCCAGTCACCGAACTTCTCCAGGTCCTCGTCCCGGATGAACCTGCTGCGCAGGCGAGGAGACCCCGCATCGCCCTTCTCCCACTACACCTACCAAGACATGGGGAAGTCAGGAAGCCCTTGTGGCATCAGTCAGCCAAAGGGGGACTCCCAGGAGCAGTGGGACAGCGAAGATGGAAAACTAAGGGAGTTTGATGCCTTCATGTCAACCCCCTTCTATGAGAGACCCGGTTTCTACAGCGCCCCCCAGACACCCATCAGCTCCATCCCCATGATTTTCCCTTCCAGACGCCAAGGCCGGAAGAAACCACCTGCTCTCTCCAGCATTGCTGCCTGCTCAACTTCCCTGAGGGATGTCATCGTCAACGCCTCCCCTTCCAGGGCCAGTGATGTCTACAAGAGCCAGAGCTCCCTGGGCTCAGCTGCAAAGGAAACCTTCGTCTGGCCAACAGATCGGAGCAAAGGTCCTGACTCCACAGCTGTGACAGTGGAAGAGGAAAAGAACAACTCCAGGGAAGCTGCCACCACAGGAAGCCCAGGAGCACAGTCCACAGCATCCGACAGCCCAAAATTCCCCTTCCTGGCAGAGTCCCCTGACCAGGAGAAGCAGGGCAGCTACAAGAGCCTGAAGAGCTTGAAAGCTTCACACCCACCCTGGCTAACCCTGGAGAACACAGCATCAGCTCCTCCCAACTCAGAGCATTCCGGTGCCTTTCACACCCCCAGTAACAAAACCCCCGGGGGCAGCACCTCCCTCTGCTTCTCCTTCACTCCCGTGACCTCTCCAGCCCTGGAGAGGTCCCATAAGGGGAACCTGGGCCCTGACGCTCGCAGCCTGAGCTTGGAAGACGCAGCCAGCCCTCCAGACCAGCATCCAGAGGTTCCCAGGAACACGAGAGACACTGGGAATGGAAGCACTAACCCAACCCCTACAAAAGAGCCAAGAAGAGCAGAGAGTCCATCCCCTAATGACTCCGGAATCTCCCTGGCTGAGGGCGACTTCGTGGGGCTGATGGAGGTGATCATGGAGGCCAGTGAGAGCCCAGGTGAGGAGCAGATGGACCAGTACAGCTAAAGGAGACAAGGTTCCATGGGATACCTTCCTTATCCTCACACCTGGCACTCACCTGAACAGAAGGGCAGTGCTGGACATGCAGCTAGAGCCTGGCCTAGCCTAAAACCAGCACTAAGGACACACTACTCCTGGTTTTGGTACCATAGCGAGCTCAACTTCTGCTGCAACAAGAAAACCACCAAAAACCCAATTTTTAGCCAAAAGCCAAGACTGAGTGTTAAGTATTGCTGATATCTCAGCAGGCACCAGCCAGGTGTAGCCCAAAACAGGAGTATAGTTAATATGGATACTTACTTCCTCCTCCTCACAGCAAGTAGAACTTGAGCTTACAAGTCTCAGGCAGGACTTGCACTACTCCAGGGAAAGTAAGGGACTGAAGCAAGTCACATTATTGCTGATGCGGACCCACAGTGCTTCTTCCAATCCTGTCTTAGCTCTTTTCCAGTACTGGGAAAGTACTGGAGTAAGGCAGGGTAAGTGTCTATACCAGCACAGGCAGCTGCAGTACCTGCCCCCACATTGCTTCCTTCCGAAGTTCCAGATCACCCCTGCCACAGATTTGAGTGCTCAGAGAAATGTGGATGGTAGCCCACACCACTCAGCTGAGCTTTACTGCCCACCCTCAGAAAATAAAAGCAAGGCTCAAGCCCAGGACCATCGTTTCGTTTCCTCATTTTAGTTCCCATGCAACGGGAATTTAGAGAAACCATACAAGTTCTACTTCTGCCTTCAGCAGCAGCTGCAAGACTCCCACACCACATGACAAAATTTACCTCCCACATCCCTTCATTACAGCTGCCTTCTCTCCCTGAAAACTAAACAGGAAAAGCCAGCTGGAACCAAGTCACTTTATTGGCTGGAGGGCAGTACATAAAACACAAGAGAGAAGGGGGGTGATATTTGGTACAGAGAATGGAACTGTTTCTCTAGGTAGCTGAAGCTGCATGCACGGCTGGACATTAAGTAGGAGTCCCACTGAAACCCACAGCGTGTCTCTGGGCCAGACTTCAGCTGTCATTGTCACTGTCCCCGAGGGTGTGCTTGTCGAAGAGGTACTCGGCCATGCCGTATTTTGGTGCCCCCATCTTCCGCAGGTTGGTCACATGGTCACCCAGCTCCTTGATGGCTTTCACCTGCTCATCCAGGTAATGAGTCTCAATGAAGTCACACAACTGGAAGGGAGACCAAGAGAGTTTAAATTCAGGCCCAGAAAGGAGTGGATACAGCACGACAACTTTCAAGCTGAGAGGAAGCAGCTTTTAAGTTTTGCTTCAGCAAAGCCAGAAGGAGATCAAAGTGAGGCAGGGCTTACACAGGCACACTGGCTCCAGAACCCTGCAGAGCTCAGGAAGCCTCTCCTCTTCCTCACTACAGGAAGCATTAGCCAAGTCTCTGAACAGATTTTGACTCCCCCACTACACAGCAAACTCACAACTGTGAGGATTTACACCTCTAAAACAGCCCAGTTTTATTGTTTTCTTTATAAAAGTCCCTCCAGCTTACACAGGACACTCACAAGAGTACTTGGATTCACACACATTAATCTCTTCCTGATACTAAGCAGCTTCAATTCAGCCTTGCCAAAAACTTTCATCTGTGAAGAGCCCTGTGTGTTTCAGACCCTGTTCTCAAGTATCAGGGCTTGAGAAACCAGAAGTGACACCAGAATTTTGTGGCAGAAAAGCCTCATAAGATAGAACTCAACCACCTCAGAAACAAGCCTCCATAAAGCTTAATACACTTCAGAAGGAATAAAGCAAGTCTCAGCTACCATAAAAGTCCTCCTGGAAGGACAGCAATAACCTCACCAAAGGGCTAAAGGACAGGCTGACATCTGGGCCCTTCCCTCTGGAAGGGCTGCACCCCTGGTTCACCTTTTCTCACCTTTATTAACATCAAGGACACACAGCTCAGCCCTAAACTCGCACAATTAGGCACATCCAAGCCCCCTCCTTGCACAGCCACATTCTCGGGCTCAGCCTCCACTTACGTGTGGGTCGTTCTTCTCAGTTGCCAATTTGTGCAGTTCTAGCAGTGACTGGTTCACGTTCTTTTCCAGGTGCAGGGCACACTCCATTGCAGTCAGGCCATTCTCCCAGTCATCACGGTCTGGCTTCTGCCAGGGGAAAGCACAGCCCATGTTTTCTCTAAGTACCCACAAATCAGTAGGGAGCAAAGCCTTTAGACCACCCTCAAAGCTTGTCTGGATCAAATTCAGACATTTAGGTAACAAACACTTGATGTGCACTCAGAACACAACTGAATGCAACCCCCCAATCCCACTTCTCAAAACAGTCCACAGAGCACTTCTGCTGTTAAATTTAATGATGATGAACCAGTTGCCTTCTTGTTCTGCCACAGGAAACCATTACCCTCTTCTTACACAAAAAGTACTTTTTCTTAGTCAATCAGCATAAATTATCAAATTACTACACGTCTCAAATGACTCTGCTTCTCCAGTGTCAGCTGCTGCTCCTTCTGGGAGAGGACCCAGAGGGAAACTCAGCCCCCAAATGTAGTTCTGGGCCGGGAGAGCCCACTCCTCACCTTGATGTCCTGCAGGAAGATGCGCCCTCCCCTCTGGTTCTGCAGCTTCATCAGCTTCTCCGCGTGCTCCCGCTCCTCATGGGACTGATGCAGGAAGTACTTGGCAAAGTTTTTCAGAGCCACATCATCCCGGTCAAAATAGTAGGACTGAAAAATAAGGATTCACAGGCTCAGAATCCCAAGCTAAGCCTAAAGTGTGGCTTCAGATGTGTCTCCTCTTAGCCCTGCCTCAGGATGGCCCGAGTCCAAGCTGAGGCCAGCAGACAGCAAGGCAGTGTGGAACAACCCTCCCCTTACTATTTTTCCAACTAAGATTAAATCTTAACATGCATCCCTACCAAGGACACAAATGGTAGTTGTGTCCTTGGTTCAGTTCTGAAGATACAAAAAAATCCCCGATACCCCACAAATACCTGTTCTGATCACCATTCAAATGCCTTAAACTGCGGCCTTGAAAAGCCTTTTTCATGGAGAAATCTTCCCTTTGTTTGCTCGAGCTTGTTTACAATGATCACAAGTCAGGGTTATGACTTGCAACACCAGCTGAGTGGCCATTAACTTTTAGGTACTCCTGCAATAAAGCTCTCATGCCTCCGTAGGCTTTTCAGGGATTAGACTAAAGAGTACACTTGCTACTTTTGGAGAAAAATAGCAGTATTGCATTTAAAAGACAAATGGAATTAAAATATCAGGTCAACAGCGAATACTGTTTTGAAAACCAAAAAAAACCCCCGTCTAACAACAATTAGAAGCCATCACACAGCTTGTCTGTTCCTCAGTCAGGGCCATTAGCAGGATTCAATGGAACTTTCGCATCAACTGCCACTTATTTCCCAAACTACTACAGAATTCTCTGCTGCTAAACCAGCAGCCTGGAGGTTCAAAGCGAGACACCAGTGCTTTGTGTACCACTATCATCCACCAACGGAAGAACAAAACAGCGTTAAAACTTTTACAGTAACACAGAAACAAGCCGTAAAGTGCTGGATGTACATGCCACGACATTATGGAATGCCACCGGAAAGTCTCAAGTTCCCTGCACGTCTAAAGCTGCACAGAGGTCAGAGCTGCTCCTTGCGCCAGAGCAGCTCAGCGTGGCTAAAACCGGACCCTCGTGCCAAGCGAGACAAGTAGACGCAGGGCCAAGGAAATCGCAGATTCCTCCTGATTCACGGAGGAAAGAAAAACCGTGCCTGGGAGCCGAGCACGCCCGCGGGAAAGGCGCCAAGCGCCTCGTTAGGCAGGTCCTACTATCCAGCCCAGCCCCAAGGGCAGAGCCGGCCGGGAGCCGCTGAGCCGGGCTGATAACGGGGCCCACAAGGGCAACGGCCGCGGGGTCCGCGAACACCGAGATAAAGGGCCTCACCTACACACAGGGGACGGCCCACAAGGGCCCGGAGGCGCTGGGGAAGGAGGAGGAGGAGGAGGAAGAGGAGGAGCTGCGCCCGCAGGCACCGCCCGGCACCCGCGAACCCCCCCACCGCGCCAGGCCCGCGTGCGGCCCCTCTAGCCCTCGCCTCTCACCATGCTGAGGTACACGTAGGACGCGTAGAGCTCCAGGTTGATCTGGCGGTTGACGGCGGCCTCGCAGTCCTGGTGGTAGTTCTGGCGCACCTGGGAGGGGGGCGCTGCCATGGCTGGGTGCTCCGGTGGGTACGGCGGTGACTGTGTGAGCGGCGGTGGTGTGGTTGTGTGGGAGGGGGCGCGGCGGGCCCGAGCGCGGCCGGTTCCGTCCAAGCACTGTTGACGCAGGAACCCGCTCCGCTCCGCCGCCGACGCGTTCTGAGGGCCGTCCGCCCCGCGGCGCACATTTTATACCGCCGCGCGCCGGGCGCACCCACTGAGGGGCGGGGCTTCTGTGCCGCGCTTCTGCTGGCCCAGCATGACTCAGCACCCGCCCAGGCCACGCCCACCGCGGGGGCGGGGTCCGCGCGCGCCGCTTCCCTCAGCCCCCTCCGCCATCATGGAGTTGGTGCTGCTGGAAAAGCCCTCAGGGCGCGCCCTGCCCCCGGCCCCCAAAACACGCCCCCAAAGCGTTTCTAAATGTTTCTAAAATCCAATCTAAATCCAGAAAAATGAAAAATCAAAGGGCAAATGTTAAAAAACTGAGCCCTCTGGTAACGAGATGGTTATTTCAGCTGCTTTTAGTGCTATCCCAGTCAGTGCCATAATTTATTTTCAATAAACACTGGGTTCTTTAGTCATTCAGTTTGCTCATTTATTTTCAGTCACTACTGGACTATTTTACTTTGTGCTTTCTGTAGTTTTAAGCTGATTAAAAGTGCAACTTTGAGGGCTAGAAACATCCTGCTTAACCAAGACCATCTTTTAACATCAAACTCCCAAGATCTAGGCTTTTACCAAGCCAGCGTTCAGTCCTGGCTTTTTCCAAGCCAATGTTCACGCTGAAATCCATCAGAAATTTAACTTATTTGGCCTGTAAACTCAGATTACATAGTTTTTCTTCTATTTACTGTGCCTGTAAACTGAGATTAAATATTTCTTCTACGTATTGAGCCTGTAAATTCAGATTAAATAGTATTTCCTCCACATACTGAGCCTGTAAACTCAGGTTAAATAATTTTTCCTCTAACCAGTTCTTTCTACAGCACTTTTCCAGGCAGTTCCAAACAGCCTGGAGGGAACAGGGAGCCTCTGCCTTCCTTTGTTTCACCGTTTTCTGTCGGTTAAACTTCAGAAGTAATTAAGATCTATAAGATAGCGTGGGTCATACCCATGCTTCAGGCTGCCAGGTACACTTGAAATCTGTTCTCCTCCCGCACTAATGCTTATGTAAAAAACAACAACAACAACAAAAAAGTCGTAGCTGCTGGGCAGACTTGTATGACTATGTTCACACCAGAGTGTTTTCAGCTCCCTGGAACATCAAACAGACCTTTATAATTACAAAGTTTATAACAGCAATATTTCCTCTGCAGTTCGGACAGTCTGTGCCACCCGTGATTAAACGTCAATGAGATTAGGGAAGTCCCAGATTCTGCTTTCTGGATCCACTGCGAGTTGCACAATGCACATGATGTTTGGTGACAGCAGATTTACGTGGGCAGGAGAGGAAACATGGGGTTGCACAGCCGTGTGTCATGCCTTGGTGACCAAGGTGAAGAGTTCAAAACTCTGGTCTTACATGAGATTATGTTCAGCCATACCCAGATCTTCCCTATCTCAAACTAGTGTTTTAATTTCAACTTTACTTCACGCTGTTTCCTCATGGTTTGGTTTAAGCCTTCTTTTATCTTGTACTGTTCTTCCTGAAGATGCATTTAATCATAAAAACCTCGGATGGTTTAGGTTGGAAGGGACTTTAAAGTCCAACCCCCTGCTGTGGACAGGGACACTTTCCACTAGCCCAGGTTGCTCCAAGCCCCATCCAACCTGGCCTTGAACACTTCCAGGGATGGGGCAGCCACAGCTTCTCTGGGCAACTATGCCAGGGCCTCACCACTCTCACAGCCAAGAATTTCTTCCTAAATAGTAAAGACTTTCTTCCTAAAGGACTTTACAAGCATTCTTGGGAAGAAGCCTGCTAAAAGCATCACCTTATTAGGCTGGACTTCCCATCAAGTAACATTCACATTTAGGAGAAAATTGTGCCCTTTGAGGGGAATTGTTCCCTAGCACAAGTTGCCCAAAGAAACTGTGGCTGCCCCATCCCTGGAAGTATTCGAGGCCCAGGGCCTCTCCCATCCTTGTGTGTGGATTTTGAATTCACATCTCTCTCAGCTGCTTTGTTGGTCTGAAGTAAAGGCATATTCAGGCTGCCTACAGGCAAAATCATTGTATTGTCTGCCTACACAAGCTTCAGATTGTTGAAGACAATCTCTGTTTTCCCTTGGATAATATCCCATCAGGAACAATGGAGCAAGCTTTTCTTGTTTACAGCTTGTACATAGAGCACAGACCCTAAAATCTGCCAATTTAGGGACAGTAATGCTGAGCTTTAGGTGTGCAAAAATAGTCGGGGCTTCTTTGATGAATGTCTCCATATAAATACAAAAGGTCATCAAGTCAGAGATCAAGATATACCTGAAGGGAAAGTTTCCATGACTCTTACACCCACTTTAATACCATTTATTCTGACTCTACCTATGGCCTTCTCGTGCATGACCTTCGCAAATGACCACAGTGACCTTCCCGGGGGTTGAAAACAGGACTTCTAAGCAAATACTGGACAATATTTGCCCAAAGTAAATTCTGAGGCAGATTTTTGCTGATACAGTCCCTGAGCAAAAAACTTGGCATGAGACTTAGGCTTACAGTTAGACCTTCAACAAGAGGGCTGCCTTGGTGTGATCAGAGAGAGCCAGAATGCTCAGAAATGCACAAAATTTCATTTAACATCTGTAGAAACAGTTCACCTATAGCTTTAAAATGCTTGATTTTGCCATGCTGGTTTAATTACAGATTAATAACAGATCTCAGTTAAAAATCAACAACTGTCCCAGATTCAGTGAACAAGAAAGTGCTGAATATGCCTCAAATATTAAATCAACAAAAATACAGTAACCTTTTCTTTTTTTTTTTCCCCCAAAGCTCAAAGTCCTGTAAATAAGATAAACTGCATCCAGTCAAATATTTGTTATGGAGAACCTCCATTCCACCTACGAATTTCAGTGTCATTCAGGTCCCAGACTTTCTGTAAACACAAAAGCAACTCTAAACTTGGCTCCAAGGTTGATCATGTGTGGGGAAATTTGACACTGATCTCAACTGTGAGTTTTGAAAGCTGTTTACTAAACACATCTGGGCTCCATTTGCTCTGTGAGATTAACTGCAAACTCCTTCTGTTGCTCCTTGGGCAAAACGTGGTGCAAGTTTTTCAGTTGTTTCTTTTAGGTGTCCAAATTTCTCCACGTGGGAAAGCCGGGGTTTCACTGAGTTTTCCCTGGGTACTTACAGCACAGAATGCAAATGACTGGGGAACACAGAAGTGCTGGTTCCTGGAAACACTCTCCAAAGACAGAAAGACAAAGGATGTTTGAAGTTATGCTGGGAAATTTGCCTTGGAGACTGAACACAAGGCTATTCTGATTCAGGAAAAAAAAGTCCCGAAGACGGACTAAAGGATTTTGTAAACAACTAATATAATCCCTGTTTTAAACAGACAAACATTTTTTAAACTCTGTTACAGTTTTTTCTCTCTCTTGAACATATTTGCATACAGTCTGAATGAAACGCCATAGATAACAATTCTCTAGTTTGTCCACACTACTCTTGATTTTATTTTTATTTATTTTTATTTATTAGTTATTTATTTTTACAAGCCTCTAAAAATACACTTAGAGTTAATAGAGTGAGGAAGAACATTGTTAATAACATGATAATTCTGTCAGCCCAGCATGGCCAGAAGCAGAATTTGGTGAATTTACTTGCATGTATCAGCCCCTTCTAAACTAATTTCAAGACCAACTTCAATATCTGTGACAGAAAAGCTCCAGTTTGGATTCCAAAGGCATCCTGTGCACCAGCTGCATGTACTGGAGCTTCCACAACAGATTTTTCCAAGCTGCAAAAGTCACAATAATTTGATGTTGACATTCCACCACAGGCCACAATCCACAACATTTACTACACTGTCATGATCCTCCTGCAGGGCCATCCACTTTATTTCCCTCTCAGATTTACCAAGTGTTAAAAACCAGGGGGTGGGTATCATTCCTGTTCTCTATTTCTGTTTCTTTAACTTACTCTAAAACTGGAAAAAAATTGCAAATAGAACCACCCATCTAAAGTCAACAACCACAGGGAAATTTCTCAATATACCAAAGGATCACCTCCTTCCTACCATGAATTCCCCTGGAAAACACTGGGGATTATCCAAAGCCCTCATGATCAGGCAGCTTTCATTCTGAGTAGGATACACAGGCAAAATGTTGTTTTTTAAAGATGAGGTTTCATCTGGGAATCAAAAAGAGGTGTCTGTCCTCCCTCATGCTGCCACCTTGTTTTCCACAAAAACTGGATTTGTAACCCTCCACAGAGACACTGATTCTTTATTTCAGACCACAGTTTGCACCCCAGGCCTCAGTTAATTTTGTGAGGATGTTCTTTAGGCACAGTTTGTGTAGCATCTTGAACAGATATTACAAAGCCTTCCAGAGAAGGTGGTGGCTGCTTTTACATTCAGCCACCCAGAAAAGGGGCTGGCAGGCAAATGCTTTCAAGCATGATGAGAAGAAACAAGCTTTTACAGGGAACTGGCGGTTAAAAACCGGCTTAAAGAACATGCAGCAGCCCGATAAAGCACCACAAAAAACAAGCAGTGGCCCATGTCATGATCTCTGTCAGGCAGGATGGGCGGGGGGAGCACCTCCAAACTGCTGCTGCTGCTCAGCAGGTCTCTCCAGGAACTCATTTCATGGATTATTTTAGAGGAAGTGAAGAGATTAAATCGATGTAGTGGCTTAGAAAAATTGGAGGGATGTTGTCTACAAGAGGTGAGAAAGCAGGGAGAGTTTTCTGGGAGCCTGTGAGAAAAGCAGGTTCCTGCTGTGCTGTGAAGAGACACTGAAAACACCCGTGTGGTTCATGCAGCTGAGATGGAGCCACAACTCCACAGCTTTCCTGCTAGGTATAATTTCCTCCTAAGTCACATCCCAGACCTTGGCATCAAGGTAAAAATGTTTAAAAGCAGTTCAAGGGGCTTGAGTTGGACCTGCTCCTACATGTGTGACCTGTGGAGCAGCCAGATAGTGTTGAAAAGTAGAGTATTGTCCCTGAAAAGTCAACTCTGGATGAGCTGGACACAACTCCTTCCACAAGCCAGCAGCAGCTGGGTGGGGAGGAGACCCACTGGTGCTTTCCCT